ACCTCTTCTAATTTTCTAAGACTAGTCAATAGGAAAGTCCTATGGCTAGACCTAGGCTACTAAAGAAGTTTTCTAGACCTCAACCAAAAGTGAGGTCAACACTACACCTGGTGCACCTATCCCATTGCTCCTACTTAAGAGCCCACTACCTCATTACGCAATCAAACATGCTCCTATTTTATGGTAAAATATGTGTCTTTCCACAGTTTATCACTGACTCATATATCATTTGCTACTGCCCTGACGAACTATTAGATCACTGCTACTATTGAGGTTGCTCTAGCTATTCCAGCCTAGAAAACAATAGTAATGGAGGAGATGAAAGCCCTTTAGTTGAACCATACATGGGACATTGTGGACTTTCTTTGGGGTAAGAAAGTTGTAGGGTGCCGATGGATTTTCAGCACCAGATTCAATTCTAGTGGATCCTTTAAACGCAACAAGACAAGCTTGGTCGCTAAAGGTTACTCACATACCTACGAAGTTGACTACGATGAGAAATTTGCTGCAGTGGCTAAATTAAACACAATTCAGGTCCTGTTGTCACTTGCAGTGAATATGTATTGACCTTTATTTCAACTTAATGTTAAGAATGTTTTATTGAATGGTGAGCTAACATAAGAGGTACACATGTCTCTCCCTCCAGGTTTTGATTATACTGCCTCTAGAGGATAAGTGTGCAAGCTACAAAAGACGATTTATGGGCTAAAGCAATCCCCAAAGGCATGGTTCGGTAAGTTCACAACGGTGATCGCGGGCCATTACTAAGGCTCAATCGAATCATACTCTTCTACCGACACTCCTCGAATGGCCAAGTAGCTATCTTCATTGTCTATGTTGACGATATTGTTCTTACAGGTAGCAATCTTCCAACATTGGATTCCTTAAAAGACATTCTTGTATTGTCCTTCAAAATGAAGGATTTGGGATCCCTCTAGTACTTCTTAGGCATGGAAGTGGCTTGGTGCACTCGAAGAATTTGTCTGTCTCAGCGCAAATATATGATTGATCTCTTGACAAAGAATAATTTTCTTTTGTAATAAACTATTATTGTTTCTATGGATTCTAATGAAAAATTATTTGACATTCCTAGTATTGTATCTATCAGTCAAACTCATTACCAGCGTATTGTGGGAAAATTCATCTACCTGACTCATACTTGCCCTGACATATGCAATGCAGTTGGAATAGTGAGTCAATTCAAGCATGATCCCTACGAGCACCACCTCCAAGCTATTCACCGGATTCTCCACTACTTAAAAGGTGCACCAGACTGGGTTTATTTTTTTCCCACCATACATCTCGATCTATTGTTGTTAATCATTAACATTTTATCTCAGTGTATTGCTCATTTGTATGGGAAATCTTATCATGTTGAAAAGCAACAAATAGTCTGTGGCTGTCTGAAGCAGTGTTGAAGCTGAATTTCGATTCATGTTTTTGGGAATCTGTGAAGTCGTATGCCAACTTTTGTCCTACTGCAGTTATTCTGTGATAATAAGGCTGCAATCGGCATTGCTCACAACTCAGTTTAGCATGATCGCACCAAACTCGTGGAGATCGACGGACACTTCATTAATGAAAAGATCTAATTCGAGGAGATTTACATTCCATATATATATACCCTTAAGTAGTCAGCTAGTGGACATTCTCAACAAAAATCTGGCTTGTATTTTGTTTAATGATTTTAAGTCCAACTCGAATATGACTGACATCTATGTTTTAACTTGATGTGAGTATTAGACTATAACACTGTTATTACTTATTATTTGATTTTATTCCCTTATATATATTTCCCCCTTTGCTCTATTCTATTTTATTTTTTTTCCTAATTATTTTATTATATTTTTATAGCTTTCCATTTTTATCCCTATTATAAATGAGTTTAAATAACCCTATCCTATTAATAAAATTGAGTTAGTCTATTTCAAATCTCAACAATTTTAATTAATCATACTCTTATCAATGATAATAAATAATTAAAGAATAATAAGCCTAATCTGCTACATCAAAGTAGATCCCATATGAAATAAAGGATAGGGAAGAAAAGGCGATGACTCACCAATTTGTTTAATCAAGGATGTGGAAAAAGAGGTCATCGATGGAGTGGAAAGGGAGGTAGAAAGCCGTCAGAGGTTCTTTGTCGTTGGCTCGATCGAAGAGAACCGTATGAGAGGGATGCAACTACTGTTAGTCGTAGGAGTAATTTGCGGCTTCAGAGGCTGCTAGGGAAGGCTCGGTGGTTGTAAATCATGCGATACCCTAGCTTTTGACTCCCCTAAATCAGGAGAAGAGGGAGCAGAGGAGTTGGCATGCAAAGACAGTTGAGAGTGTGCGAGAAATAGTCGTCATAGTTGAGAAAGGCGGGTTGTCCCGCGAGCATTTCAGCGAGAAAAATCGTGAGATTTCAAAGGCAAAGAGGAGGGTTCACGTGAAGGGCAGAAGTGATGGTTTTGGTTCAAGAGAGCTGGTACGATTCTTACATGATGTGTGTATTCACATTTTGCTATGGACGGTACATAAAACAGGAATTTTTTACATATATTCCTACAAATTTGTAAAGTTATTATTTTATTTTATTATCTACCTCTTAATATTTAATGAGACATGCATCATGGTAAAGAAAAAAGAATAATTTCCAAAGTGTGGCCATAGGTGGAAACACATAGATCTCATCAACTAACACCAATTTGTCTTTGCCAATTCTTAGATATATATTTTCTAGGTTTTTTCTTTAGTTTTCTTTTCTTTTTATCATTTAGGTTGAGTAATTTGGCGTAAACCCAAAACTAGTGGACTTTGATTTAGTTTGTGTTGAGAAATTAGGGCAAAGAAAAATAGGAATCAACAAAAATACAAAAGAACACACAGAAATTTACGAGGTTCGACAAAGATGCCTACATCCTCGGGAACAGAGCGACGACTTATTTTTCAATATTAAAAAAAGAGTACATAATACAATATTCAAATATATAATCCTATAGTACAATATGTAATTATTTAAATTACTCATGTACCAAACAGCGGGTGTTGCCCCCGCACCCCCAACCCACATAATGAAACTCCCCCCATTGGACAGATCATTCCGCTCCACTCCGTTCGTTGGTTCCGCTCCGCTCCAACATCTGTCCCATTTATGGTATATGAGCCATACCTAACAAATCTTCACTTTGGCGAATATCCAGTCCCTTAGGAGAAATATATCATGGAGTTTTTTTTTTTTTATGGACCAATGTGGGTTAGGTCATCAGGCCGTCTGACAATTACAAACATTTAACAAGTTCAAGCGATGCAAGTACTTGTTGATAATACCTGGCTTGGTCAACATATCTGTTGCATTTTCATCGCATGATCAAACAAATGGAACTTCACCTATAACTGTACTCTCCAACAATTTATAGATATTACTTGCAGTTAATTTTCCTCTTTGTTGCAATTCTTCCCAATCTTCATCCTCTATGACATCTGATTTTGTTATCCACAAAGCTTTCAAGATTCTCTGTTGAGTCAACAAATCTTTCACTCTTGTTTTCCACAATCCGAAGTTATCAGTTCCATCGAACTTCACCACCTCAAATTTTGTACCAGAAATTGTCATTTGAAATTGATCCTGCAACGAACTCCTTTGCAAATTCCTCTGCTGAATTTCCAAATTGCTTGAGCGATAAATTTTACTCAATTTGATCCTGCCACAAATCTTTTTAAGTAATCCTTTAATTAAAATTTCATTAATTAAGTTTCCCAAAAAAATGATTTTCCCTTAATTAAGATTCCCTTAATTAAGTTTCCCATAAAAATGACTTTCTCTTAATTAAATTTTCCTTCATTAAACTTTCTCAGAAATCTTTTTCCTTAAATTTCCAAGAAAAACTCCCTTTTCTTTCCCGAAAAGCTCAGCCTCCGCTTTCCAGAAAAGCTCATTTTTCCTTCCAGAAAACTCAGCTTTCCTTCTTAAGAAAAAGCTCTGCCTCCGCTTTCCCCTAGAAAAGCTCCACCTTCCAGAAAAGCTTCACTTTCGCTTTCCTTCCAGAAAAGCTCCGCCTCCGATTTCCAGAAAAGCCTGCATTCCTTTTTCGGCTCTAGCGCGATTCAACGATTCACGCCGCCGTGCGAACTGCTCCTCTGCGCAGCTTCCAAACTGAATCCCGCAAATGCCTCCCGCACAAATGTCTGCGTCAGCACGAAACTCCCGCGCGAAAATCCTGTGAATTCCCGCGTGCAGCGAGCTCCTCCCGCGTTTTAGAGGGAATATTCCCTCTGGTGGAAGATGGAAGATTCGTTGATTCTCCTTCAGCGAGCCACCTTCGGCTTCGCCTTCACAAACTCCTACATTGGTGGCAACCTCCCACAAAGAATCCTTCCCGCCTCCGTCCGCCAACCTCCAGCGAATGCCTTCGGCTTTGCCTTCGCAAACTGGTCCTCCTGCGCGATTCGCGCCCTTCGCAAACTCCTCGCTACGTGCTCTAAAAATCTGTCACGAACCACCAAAGTTCTTCGACTAATCGTTGAAGCCCCAAAATTCACCGAATTTTTCTGCCCTAGTCACCAAATCTCCTTTGTCAAAATCTTCTTTATTCCTACGCCGCCGAAATTTTTCTTCCTTGCCTTAGAACCTTTCTCTGATACCACTTGTTGAGAAATTAGAGCGAAGAAACATAGGAATCGACATAAATTCAGAAGAACATGCAAAGATTTACGAGGTTCGACAAAAATGCCTACATCCTCGGGAGCAAAACGGCGACTTGCTTTTTAGTATTCAGAAAAAAGTACATAATACAATATTCATAATCTCAGAATCTCACTTACCCAGAGTTACAAACATAACATATATATAACCCTATAGTACAATATGTAATTACTTAAATTACCTTTGTATCAAACCGCAGAATCTTGTCCCCCGCATCCCCAACCCATATAATGAAACTCCCCCGATTGGACAGATACTTCCACCACACTCCGTTTGTGGGCTCCGCTCCGCTCCAGCATCAGTCCCATTTATAGTATATGAGTCATACCTAACAGTTTGGTTCATAGGAGCAGCAACCCTTATCCTACCTAACTTTGAGAAGATCCAACTAAAATGCCAGATACCATAACCAAACAAGGAGCATTTTCAGTAGACAACCATAAGGTCAAAATAATAATCATTCGTAATGATAGTTGACCGAAACAATTTCCTCAGAATATACTAGGGAATCAATTAATTATCAAAATAAAACTTCTAAAGGGGATTCATTGATGAGAGAAAATATGTATGACTCTTCAAATAAGGGAGCCGGTATTCTAAGCTAGATAATCTAAAAAATTGTTTGTTGTTTGCCACATTTAGTAATTAGCATAAAGCCTATCAGAATCTCAAAGAGAAGCAGAATCAGCATTCCATTCCCAAATGACTTTATAGGGCACAGAAAGCTCAGTTCTCAAGCATTGCTTCTCTAATAGATTTGAAGTTCTTTTGAAAACCGCAATTTGAGATGCGAAGCCTGGTTCAACATCAGCCGAGCCCCCAACACCACTAAACTCAACACTATAATGGTGTTTCGCTGCAAGATCGTTGGCCCAGTGCTGAAATTGATGTCTTGTCCACTCGAACTTGTGATCAAGATTCCGAAACTTACTGGATGTGGATTTGTCTTCTGAATCCTCCCCGCTTGGCATTGAGGATCTCTGTAGAATTGGGTTATATTCATAGTTGGGTGTGGAGACAATAAGCACTGATGGGCAGAAAAGGCTTAGAACTACGTCACCAAACAAACAAGCTTGATCCTCTTCCATGTGCTCAATGACCTGCATTGTTTGATTCTTATGATTGTTAGATAAAATAAATATAAAGTTGACGCAGCATGCAATCAATATTCTTTGAATGAGAATCAAAGATCCACACAACACTAAAAATGCAGCAGAAATAGAGCATGAGAATTCCAGTTGTGAAAAAGAATGGCGTTCAAGGTCATCTCGCTTCTTTGACCTTACATGGTGCCAAGGTTAACTACTTAAAAATGCGCAACAATTTTTCTCCAAAGCAGCCCACTTATTATGGGAAAGGTGAAAACAAAGGAAATGAAAAAAAAATACGAAATAAATAAGCAGTCATTCGACGATAAAAGTAAATTTATTATAAGGTAGAGAGAGAAGGGGAAAAAAATAGAAGAAAATACAAGCATTTAGCTTGCAGAAAATATCACTTAACGTCCTTACAACCATGCTGCATGCTGCTTGGATTCATTATAATAACTCATATTATTATGTTTCTAAATTAAAATTGAAACTTAAATATCTTACAAAAATGAAAGATGAAACTAAAACAGCAACTTTGATGGATTTTTATTGCATATAATAATTAAGTGTAACATTTTTATTAAATAATATGCATCATACATGTTTAATCCAGATTTGTCTTGTACGGTATGCCCAAGGATCGGAGTGATAGGGAACGGGGAGGAGAGAAATAGAGCAAGGCAAAGAAAATAAAAGAGCACACACAGGCTTGTCCTATAGGGGCGAAGTGTGGCATTCCCAAGCTCTGTGACCCGTTTTATATATCTAAATAGAGATTACAAGAAGGAAATGAGAGTGGTTTCCCTTTAACGTGTGGGTCTAGGTCAAAGAGCCAAAAGCCCTTTTACATGCACTGGACCTCCTATTTATAGAAGATAAAGAGACATAAAGTATAAAATTGCACACATGCCCCTGCTTTTATGAGGGGGTTATAGAATATCATTGTCCTTTCCTATCAATAACCGTTATAGGCGTCTTTTAAAATTTATGGATCCTTCAACCTTTAGGTCCCTGAGCCAGTAGGTTCAACTGGTGCCCGGTTGGCTCTACTGGTGCTGGTCGGCTCTAAGTTCGATGGTCGGTCGGCTCGAGGCCTGTTGGTCAGTCTATTGGTATTTTTCAAAGGGGGTGTTGGGAGAATGTAATGTTCATAGGGCTATCTGCAATTTGGCCGCTTAGGTTTTTTGGTCAACCGAACTTAGGACGACCAGTCGGCTATAGTTCTCTTGGTCGGTTGACTTCATTATTATTAGCATTTGATTTGGACCGTCAGACTGCTTCGAGATTTATGCAGGTTATTTTTGAGTATACATATTAAGTTCTTTAATTTTCTTGCTCTTTGACAATGACAACGACTGCGATAAGAATAATAAAATTTTAAAATGCAATAAATAAAACATTTTTAGTCATAGTTTAATGCGATAGATACTCTCTGGATTTCTGTGCCCACGACCCTTATATATAAAACGCAAAGGGGGATCACTTCATCATCCTGAGCCTATTTCTCTTCTCTGTCTTATCTTGATATTTGCAGCTTTGCCATAGAAAAAGTGTCTGGTTGAACGCTAAAACCCGTCGACAAAGTTATAACGTTGGCGGCCCTTGGGATTAGATTCTGTCGTCCAGAGGACGAGTAGCCAAGAAGCCGAAAACAACTGAACGAGTGGGGGTAGAGGAATTGTCTAATTCGATTTGCGACAATCTGGCGAAGATCCCACCCAACACTGTGAAAGAGTGGGGTGATTCGTCGATCAAACGGTCAATGAAGATCCCCGACAAGGCATAAATTCAGCCAAGAGTCGCAAATATCTCTCCTCCGACCGAGATGCATGGATTTGGCGGAAGCGACCCTCTAACTGGTGAGAAGAGGTCGGTCAATGACTTTCCCTCCTCCGACACGGGTGAAACCACCTGGTCTGAGGTAAATCGGATTCTCAGTAAATATTTCTCTTCATTTTTCATTCTCCATTAGGTTGGCTTGCTATCCTTACGGCTTGTTTTTTTTGTAGAAGAGGACCCTTGTGTCGATCAATCAATGGTCAGTGGCGGTAGCAAAAATCCATCTTTGAGGATAGGCCCAGCTCCCCCGGCACCGCCTGCTAGCAGGGAGGATGTTGTCAATCACCTGACAACCCTGAAGTAGCCCGAGGCGAAACTTCTAAAACGTTGGATGTCTCCTGAGACCTTATCATACCGCATGGAAGAATTTTAGGAGGTTCTGGCCCGACAAGATGAAGACCTACGAGTCGAGTTAGAGGAGAAACGCGGAACTAGCAAGTCTTCGCCAAGAGATTGTAGAACTCCAGGAAGATGTGCTTGTTCAGAGGGTTCACTCTGAGGCTGACCGGGAGAATCGTTTCAAACTCGATGGTCAAACATCATATAAGAGGTTGGTTAGGAGAAGTTTAGTCTTGGCTGAGGCAGCCGAGAACCACCATGTAAAATGCCTCGTGTCAGACTAAGTTCCATATGCAATCATGTTTTTAGAATAAATAATATTTTGTTTTTGCAAATCTTGATTTTTGTGTTGACAAGAAATTTTCTTGAATTTTGCAAATAGCGTTTCGGAGTTCCTAAGCACCCCTCCGTCTTTTTCTTTCTAATTTCTTCGTCCGCTTTCTGTTTCTCGTTCTATTTTGTCCCCATCGGATGTCGTCTTTATTGAAGAGACCTTCATTTTTTACACGGCCATCAAATTGAGGGTCGCCCGTACGGATGAGAGCGATCGGGGAAGATATGGAAACGACTTGGTAGTCTATCAAGATCAATTTCGATATGGGTTGTGACTGCCCTTGTGCCATAAACTTCATGCCATTCTTAATCGATATGAAGTCATCCTTGTACAAATCAAACCAAAATCTGTGGCAGCGATTGTAACCTACATTGTTTTTTGTTAGCGAAAAGATATTCTTTGGTTGTCTTCCTTGTTCAATCACATGTTTTTGTTTCGCATGGAGTCGGATAGTTATGAAGCACACATTTTTTAATTTAAGACAACCGACTCATTCCATTTTGCCTTGTTGGATAAAAATTCAAGCACATGAAACGCACATTTTTTATAGCCTCGTCTACCGAGAGTTGGGGTGTTTAGATAGTTTCTTCTGGTGACCTTTTCCAGAAAAAGAAAGGCACCGACTACTCCCGAGTCGAAGGAGCCAACAATGAGGGTCAGCTGCTCTCAATTCCCCAGTACACCGAGTTTGCTACCAAAAATAGGTTCTTGTTCACGAGAGTTTTTGGTCGTATGACAACGGACCTATGGGCGGCCTCAGACGATGCAGACGTCCCCAACGGACAAAGGAAGTAGATGCTCGAGCGACTGAGAAAAAAGTCAAGGCTGAAACGAAGGCAAAGGTTAGAACAAAAAAAAACGAGCAGAAAGCGGCAATTGCTGAGAGGAGGTTGGTTGAGGTACCGAGCAATGATATTTTTATGGATATTAATATCTTTATCAATTCAACAAATAATGTTTTAATTTAAGACTGAGTTTGAATATTTTGAACAATATTCAACAACAACAACAAAACCTTTATCCCACTAAGTGGGGTCCTCTACATGAATCCTTTTTCTCCATTGCATCTTATTTAGTATTATATTTTAATTTAATTCTAATAAATTAAGACCATTTTTTATACAAAATGCTCAAATCATCCTAAGTCTACCTCTGCCCTTCTTAACATAAGTTGAATCTAAAACATCTACTCTTCTAATCGGATATGGTCGACGTTTAATGTGATCAAACCATCTAAGATGACCCTCTCTAATTTTGTCCTTCACTGGCGCTACACCAAATCACGGATATATTCATTTCGCATTTTGTCTCTAAGTATAAAGCCACTCATTCACCTAATCATTTTCATCTTGGCAACACTTAACTTAGCTTAATGCTTCTCTTTTAAAGGCCAACATTCGACGTCATATAGCATTGCAGGTCTAACCACCATCTAATAAAACTTTCCTTTTAGTCTAAGCGGTACTTTTTTACCACACAATAGACCTCAAACATTCCTCCACTTCAACCAACCAACTTGAACTCTACTAATAACATCCCCATCAATATCACCATCACTTCGAGAAATAGACCCGAGATATCTAAAGCATTCACACCTTTTAATAATTTGATCACCAAAGTTACATTTCTGTCACTAGAGCTACTACTACTAAAAATAAATTCCATGTATTCAGTTTTAATTCTACCAAACGAAAGCCTTTAGACTCCAAGGTTGACCTCTATAATTCAAGTTTTTCCTGAGCTTTTTCTCTCGTCTTATCCTTGAGAAAAATATCATCAACAAAAAGCATACACCAAGGTACATCCTACTGTAAGTGTCCAGTAAAACCATCCATAGCTAAAGCAAAAAGATATGGGCTTAAAAGCCGATCCCTGATGTAAACCAACAAAAATAAGAAAATGTTTGGTCAATCCTCCTCCTGTTCGAACGCAAGTAACAATTCTTGTATACATATCTTTAATGACTTGAATATGGTCATATCAACACCTTTCTTCTCAAGAACTCTCCATAGGATATCTCTTGGAACATTATTGTAAGCTTTTTCTAAATCAATAAAAATCATATGTAGATACTCCTAATTATCTCTTAATTTCTCCATCAAATCTCTCAATAAATATATATCTTCCATAGTAGACCTACCGGCCATAAATCCAAATTGATTGTGAGAAATCTTATTAATACGTCTTAACCTATGTCCAATAACTCTCTCCCATAATTTTAAAGTATGACACATTGGCACACTCTTGTGCATCCCTTTATTCTTCAAAATGGAGACCAAAGTACTATTCCTCCACTTCTGAGGCATCTTTTTAGTTTTTGAAATAAAAAAAAATTTAATACAGTATTATTTCATTTTTAATTTAAATATATTATTTCTGGTCATCCGATGAAAATCAAAAGGCTAAAATTGAATAATATTTGAACCGCCCAATTTTTTTTTTTAAATCAGAGCGGTCCACTGGTTCAACCACTTCTAGTTCTTTGCAAAAACGGTTTTGAGCTTAGACCGAATAAGTTGAATGATCGATTCACAGTTAAACCGGTAAGTTAACAACAGCAGCACCCCTTAAAAAGTCATTGCTTGCAACTACACCTACAATGCTAGTGCAACCAACAACTGCATCACTGCTCATGCAGTTGCTGCTTGTAATTGCTACTGCAACAACTGTAGCACTGCCCAAAATCACTTGCATTCTTTCACGTTCATCATTGGCTATAGGTTGAACAAAGGTATTCCCATTTCATCATTCTCATCATTTCCATCATCCTCCTCATCATCATCACTATCTCCATTATCTCCATCACCCCCTTCGTCGTCAGCTTCATCTTCTTCCATCTAATCATCATCTTTCATGTATGCCTGCGCACCCCAATTCTCGAAACTACAACATCCTCCAAATCACTATCATCCCCAAGCTCATAATCTTCATCCGCGTCATATTCTACCTCTAATGACTCGTCCAAAAAGGCAAACACCATAATAACTAAATATATCATATGTAGATGCATGTCTTATCTTCTTGACAACGTATCCCCTCCACTTAAACTTCTAAGGGTCCAACATTTACATCTCTTAGAACAAGCAGCGCTATACATGACTGAAAAAAAGAATAAGAGACAGTTGCACAATTCCATAATATTACAAATGCAATCCAACTCGACAGGCCACTTTGGCAAACCAACTAGGCAAGTTAACTCAACTTCATCAACTCGTCAAGTGCATACCACATCATCAAGCATACGAAGTCAGTTATTTTAAAGATGCATTTTGTTATTACTTGTATAATAATTTGTGTAGCACATACAAAGTCAACCTAAACCTATAAATAAGGGAGGCTCCCTCAGTGTATAGGGGCAAACATATCTCTGTAAAAAAAAAAAAAAAACTCATTCTCAACAAAATCTCATAGCATTCTTCCTTTCTTCTTTGTTCTCAAGTTTTCTTTCTTTACATAGCCCTTGCCTAGGTGGTGTGAAACCACGGATAATTTAGGATCCAACTGACGTCTTATACTGCCTTCAAAAGAACTCCATAACAAACAACAATAAATATAAGAAAAAAAAGAAAACAAAAATTGAAGAAACAAAAGATTATGCATGCAGAAGAAAATCTAATGAAAACAAAAAGGAAACAAAAGAATAACTTTATAATATTAGAATTGTAAAGGCATTTATAGAATAAAAATCTAATACAATTGTGCTTATATATTGGTAGAAGAAAAAAAGAAAATACTACAACAACAATAACAACAACAAGCATCGATCCCACTTATTGGGGTTGGCTACATGAATCCTTTTTCTCCATTGCGTCCTATTGAATGTCATATTTTCATTTAATTCTAAAAAATTAAAATTTTAATTCTAAAAAATTAAGATCATTTTTTATACAATATGCCTAAGTCTTTCTAAGTCTAAATGTGTCTTTCTTAACATAAGTCGAATCTAAAACATCTACTCTCATAACCATATCATCGGATAGTAAACGTTTAACATGACCAAACTATCTAAGACAACTCTCAAATATTGTCCGCCATAGGAGCTACACAAACCCTATCACGAATATATTCATTACGCATCTTGTCTCTAAGTGTAAGTTCACTCATCCACCTAAGCATTCTCATCTCAGCAACACTTAATTTTATGCTCCTCTTTTAAAGGCCAACATTCTGTGCCATAGAGCATTGCAGGTCTCACCGCCATCTTATAAAATTCTCCTTTCAGTCTAAACGGTAATTTCTATCACACAATAGGCTTGGAGCATTCCTCCACTTCAACCAACTAACTTGAATTCTACTAATAGCATTCCATCTATATCACCATCACTTTGAACAATAGATCCGAGATATCGAACAATAGATCCGAGATATCTAAAGTATTCACACCTTTTAATAATTTGATCCCCATAGTTATAACTCTATCACTATAGCCACTACTAAAAATTCATTCCACGTATTCAATTTAGTTCGACTCAAACAAAGACTTTTAGACTCCAATGTAGACCTCCATAATTGAAGTATTTCCTGAGCTCATTCTCTAGTCTTATCCACAAGAAGGATATCATTAGTGAAAAGCATACACCAAGGTACATCCTTCTGTAAATGTCCAGTAAGAGCATCCAAAACTAAAGTAAAAAGATATGGCTTAAAGTCGATCCCTGGTGTAATCCAACAGAAATAGGGAAATATTTGGTCAATCCTCCTATACGAACACAAGTAACAACTTTAGTACACCTATCTTTAATGACTTGAATATAAGTCATATCAACACCTTTGTCTAATTTATACATATATTTTTCACGATTCTTAGTATTTAATATATTGTAAAAATCACTAAAAGAATAATTTTAGCGTCATAGATTGTTGTCGTAGACTCACTACGATCATTTTATATTTTTCTCAATTTTCTAAGCTTTTACATTTAAACCAATTTTTATATAAAACTTCTTATATTGATCTCAAAAGAAAATATAACAAATAAAATTTTCCTCATAATGGGAAAATAAAATAAAAATTTTGAATTCCTTCTACAAATATTAAATTGTGATAATATTGATAAAATAACAGAATGACTCTCCCAATTCAGACAAATACATATCTCGACAATTAGCATTTTCCTTTAAAATTGACTACTTGAACCTTTGAAGGATCCAACTAGGTTTAGAGACTTGGCTTTCCTTTTATGGACAAGGCCAAAGGAAGTCGTGCTGGTGATAAGTGCAATTCAAAAGTCAGTAGCTCTATAAAAAAACTCTCTATTTGAGCAAAATAAATTACAATAGAATGACTTGTAGCTTTTTATTTTCAATCTTGTTTTCAATGTACTTCCTAAGAGAAAGAATCATACAAGCCAATTATTTCATTCATTTATTCTGAATTGTGTTTGTTATTCTTTTGATGAAAAACATCGGCAACACCTTTAAAGTGCATTGCTTGACTTTCATAAATTTTACACAAATCATGTCCATGGCAACTTCTATATTTTAACGCACACTATGACCTTATGTTGGTGTGTCAATGCGCAGTGCTGAAGGCTGAGAACCATTTGTCATAGTATGCAAATTATGCTAAGCTTGATTCCTAAATTTAAATACAATAAATTGGTAAAATTTCATCAATTCCTGAGTCCAACAATTCAAGACAATAAAGAATAAACAGCAGGCTGAAGTGAGATCACGTTTCCACAACACATGAATTATTTTAGGAACAGAGATAGCAAGAAATACCTCTAAACAAGTACCAATGTCAAACTCGCACAAGCGAGAATCAAAGTCGGTAATTGATCCATCATATAGTATAGTAGATCTTATGCCTTTTTGCCTCGAAGGATTTGCACTCAATTTCAAATGTAAAATCTGAAACAGCACAAAATGCATGAATAAAATTTTAGAAGCAAAAATGGTGAAGGCATTTTGAGAACAGGGCTAAGGCTCTCCCATATAAGAAGATACAAATAAGAAAAGCAATGAAGGTAAGTCCACAAAAAAAAACATGGATAACATAAAAAAACATTACAACAAATTCTCCAAAAACATAATAAAATGATATAAAAACTGAGATAAAGCATAATCAACTGTTTACAGATTGTACCTTTGCAGCACGAATAAGGCTTTTGAGTGATATATCTACACCTACTATCTTTTCTAAATTAGTAGTATGATCCAATAGAGAATCCAGTAGGCTGCCTGATCCACATCCAAAATCCACCTTCATGGCACAAGAATTAATCAGACCTTTGATCATTAAGGAAAACACAAGAATAAAGCAGAGTGGAAAAAAAATACCAAGCTGGTAGCATGCAACTGATTGATAAAACCCACTGCAAACTCAACTCTCTGTTTAGATAAAGGAGGACTAAATAAAGCCTGCTCAATTCTGTCCTCTAAAGGTTCCGTCACATGCAATAACTTTACAGAGTATTCCAAGAAACAGTTGTCTGAGATCGTAAATGATTAAAACATAAAAAGCTTCTTTATAATATGGTATATAACTTTGTAATAGTATTAACAAAAAAAAAAAAAATAACTCACCTAAAGATAACTTCTGAAAGATGCTTGGCAGCCTGAACAGCTGCAGAAAAGATCAAATCCCTCGAAGGCACTTCCACCACAAACCATGCAGACTGATTAACCGTTAACTGACTAACACATGATTCAAGTTCACTAATCACAGCACCGGTACCTATCTCAAACTCAAATACATCTTTGCTTTCTAAAACTTCCCTCAAAGTTGTATCTTTCTTCTTTAATACAACAACATAACTTATACAAGTTAAAGAAGCTGGAGATGGGAAAATGCCAGAATCTGGGCCATCAATTTTACAACTAATACAGTTCTCATACTGTGTCTCATGCTGATTCGAAAATATATGCAACAATGAAATTTTTTTTTCCCTTTCAATATCATATATAAATCGATATTTCACAAGTTCTTGAATAAATTTTTGGGATACAACAATGCTGTGACCATGCTCAAACTCTAAAAACTTTTCAATTGGCATGTCAGGTTGCTTGAAGAACTTATTCAAAGAGGAAAGAACCTTTAAGGCAGAACTCTGAATTGCATCACATTCTTTTCTGCGACTATCATTAAACGAACACTTAATCACAGGATCCCGACTCTTCGACAATATCGTTAGTTCACATTTGAAGGCACTGGTGGGACTGCTCAACTCTTGACAGAGAGGATCAAGATTGTCACCATTTACCTTACTAACTTCATTCACCGAACCTGATAATTTGGAAATTTTTTTAACTTCACAGGACCCTACAAAAGTATCTGTACAGTCTAGGGCTTTAAGAGAGAAAAGAGGTTCTGATAGCTGGTGCTGGCGGCAGAAAACAGTAAGAAGATCCCGTGGTGCTGGGCCCTTCCAGTTTGCGCGAGTAGTGTATACAGCAGGCAGTTCTGCACCAAGTATTGCCTCTCTGGCCAGCTTATAATGGCCATCAGGTAACTTCCCAAGGATCATTCTGGAGAGCAATATTGCATAAGAAGGGAGAAAAATATTGACAATTCCAATAAAGACAACAATAGGAGATTATTCACAACTATCATAAAGCAAGTAAACAACTAAGGAAAAAAATGGAAAGTAAATTATAATGTAATTATAAGGTAAATGAGAAATGTATAAATTGAAACATGAAATGATGAAAACAAATCATTCCTTATCATGCCAAAGAAATAAATAAATATTTGAAATATGAACTTTCAGGATGGCATTGACCAACACAAGTGTTCAGAGGGCAAGGTATCCTAGCAGATAATGCCTTAGGTTCAGCTGGGGTTGTATAACATCGTGACTAATCAATTTTGTTCCTGATAGTGATAGGCCTCTTAAAGCCTTTCTTCTTCAAGTCAAGGGAATCTGCCATGTTGTGGTCATTTTGCAACCTTCAATAATCTACGTCTTTCACTGGGATGGCTCCTGCAGCTTTTACTCACACTGTTTATTGGAATAACACGACTTGGACAAGCTCTTTAGCTCCATAAGCTACAAAGTAGCCTTCAAGCTAAAAAGGAGCCAGTCAACATGACAAGAGAACTACATTCATTTAGGTCAGAGATTTCAAATTCTATCCAGTTTTTTTTTTTTTTTTTTTTTTTTTTTTTGTGTGATGTTCAGAATTGATTTGTTCAAAGCCCCAGCTGTAATAGACAAATCAGATTCATGCGAACTGCTCAATTCGAACATCTGTTTCGCACAAACCACTCGCGAACGCTTCACGGTCTGTTTAGGGCAGCTGCAGCTTATGCTTATAAGCAGCTTATCCTGATAATCTGCTGATGAGCAGCTGATCTGGATAAGCTGGTTGATTGTTTGGTTTGTGCGTTTGGAAAACAGATGATTCTGGATAAATGACCATTCTGCCCCCGTTTTGGATAAGTTGTTTAACTGTTTGGTTTGTGCTTTTAGAGAACAGCTGATTTGCAGATTTTTGTATTATAAATTTTAATTTTCAATTTTTTTTTAAAATTCTTTGTAACATAAATTCTAATAAATAATTTACATTTTACACCCATTATAAAATAAATTAATTTAAATTTAATTAGTTAACAAATTTACATGTCCTCACAAATAACACAAAGTACAAACACATATTCTCTTTAATGCAAATTTACATGTCCCCACAAATAACAAAATCTGTAATTAGGGAACCCATAACAACCGAATAAGCTATGCTTCTTCCACCATAAAGACGCATTTCAAATATACATGCTTTATAACAAATTTGCATTAAAGAGAAATGTATGGAGTATATGTAAGTTTCTCCTCAACATAATGCTTTATAATTGATTCACGTGTACAACCAAAGAACACCTTCCATAATCTTTGGCATCAGTTCAACTTTCATACCAATATGCATAATTGATTTTTTTCATGTAAAGGGATTCAACAAGGATTTTTGTAAATTTGTGGAAATATGGTTGAGCAACAATTATTACAACATTTTGGTAGCCATTGTAAACCAATAGAAAGCATGCAGCTGCTTCAATTCCACAAGACAAGCAACCATTTTGGTAGCCAAAGAGTGATTCCAATGAACCCCTGCTTCTAATAAGACAGCAGAAGCCAAAGTCATTCCAATACAGGTAATAGTTTGAATAGCTGTAAAGAAAGAAATCTCCTAAAAGGATCCTTTTAATCCAATTTTTTGTAGGTTCAGCAAAGCCCCTATAGACATCCAATTGACTCCCCATTGGATTACACACATCAACAGCACAAGAGATTTGTTTCCAAGGTTAAGTATTATCTATGGTATGATCCCCATATGACTGGATCAAATCATTTAACATTGCATTGTAGAGGAAGAGAATACCATTTGCAACATTATTGCATTTCAGAGTACTGAAAAAAAGAAAAATATCATCAAAACAAAAATAATTTTGCAGTGCGAGCCACTGTAGCATCCTTCACATTTTCCAGAAAATGTATTTGTAATTTGCGCAACTCTCTCACATGTTAAAACTCCCCAACTATATATTTTATTATCATTCTTAACATTAAACACATTTAGTTATGGAAGTGACCTTAATTTCTGGATTCCAGTTACACAAAAAAAATAAATTTGGGGACAATTGCCTATGACGAAGATTAGAAAGATTCCTCACATAGCGAGGCAAGAAATCATCAAGGCAAGATGGCAAGAAGCTCTTCGAAATCAATATGCTCAAGGCTTGTTGCAATAGGCTTAGCCACAAAAAAAAATCTGATCGAGAAGATCTTCAAAATCCAGTCGAGAAGATCCGATAAAAAAAAAATGCTAGGATCTAACATTCAAAAACTTGTTTTGATATGCTTAGCGACAACGAAAAAGGAAAAATAAAATAAAAAGGGGGAAGATCCGAACGAGAATGTCGAAGAAGAAAATGGAATGCGGAAGAGAAGGAATGCTTCGTATTGAGAAAGTCATATCAAGAATAAGCATTACCAGGGCCGCCTGGCTTTCGGCGACGGAGAGCGAAGGAGTTCCACTGGCTTTCCGCGACGGACAACGACGGAGGCATTCGGCTGCTGAATTTTGGAGCAAGAGGGGTAGAGACGTAAAAGGAGCGATGGTAGCTGCGGCCGAACGTGGATCGCGGGTATAACCCCATGATCTGCGTCTAATGGAATTTAGAAAACGTCTTTTTCTAATAATCTGTTCAGACGTGTGAATCAAACATTTAGGAGGCGTTTTCAAAACACCGCCGCACTTATAAGCTTGCCCCAAACGGCCCTCAGTCTCTCCTATTCGCCAGTTTCATTCTCTTCCCGCTTCTCCTCGCCGCCTTCCATATCGCCCATCTGCTGTGATCTGCCGCACTCGTCACTGACTTCCGCACCGCCTATTTCTCCATTGAAGGAGACCGGAGGCTAGAGCATTGCACATCTCCTGTAACAGCCGCCAAACCTCCCTTCTTCTCCTTGTATGCTTTTCCTCGCAGCTGTCAAATCTTCCCAATTGAGTCCCCTTCCTCCTGAAACTATACCCACTAACTTCCCTCCTCGCACTCGACCAACAACTGCCGAGTTACCCATGTAAGCCACCGGAACTTCCTCAAGTCTTCTTCCTCGTTCGGCCGAGAACCTCAACGTCAGTGAAACCTTTTCCCCTAGAGTGAAGTAGTACTCATAAAAAATGACAATTTTAAATTCAGAATAATTATTCTCAATTTCTCATCACTTCACCATAATTCTCCAATTTACTAAAAAATATTATTGGCAAAATGTAATAAATCTCGATTTATAGTATTTACTAAAGCTGCTAAAATAGTTAATATCAAAATTTTAAGAATTTTATCATTTGTTATCTTTTATTTTATTTTTTTTAATTAACTATTATTGGTAGTTCTATTTTCCTTTTTTTAACATGAAGATTTTATGATTTTCCTTATGCGAGGGTCTTCCTCTGTATTTATTTTTGTAATTGAGATTAAAAAATTGAAAATAAATGATTATTTTCCCATCCAAAAAACTGAATGGTATTAGAGCCAATCATTGACTTAGAAACGATGACCTAATCTCGTTGACATCGTTTGCGGGTTATATTGTGTGACTCCTCGCCCTCCCTAGTTAGCCCAATACCATAGTCTTCATGACCGACCCCTCACGATATAGTCTTGATTATAGCTAGCTAGGAAGGCAATGGCTGGATCGTGGCATTTAGAGACCCCTCACGAGACAGTCGTGATTAGAGCTCGTGAAGAAGGCAAAGAGTGGATAGAGGCGTTCAAAGACCATCGTGCTACAGTTGCAATTAGAGCCAGCTGACAAGGTAGCGGTTAGATCGTGGCGTTCAGGGAGCCGACGTCACCTGATTTTGCGGCATTCGAGGGACTTGGCTATGCTTCATTTTAACGACGTTGCTTCCTCACGATTGTGTCGTTGAGGGTTCTAAACCTACCACGAATTAGAGGATTTTAGTTTCTTGTCACCCTCCTTTGACACGCTTCTTCTAGCGGGGACTTTCTCCACCACCTCAAGTTTCTTCTTGTTCTTCAACACAATTGAAATTTATAATTTGAGGGAAAGGGGTGATTTCTTTCCATTCCCACTTTAGTTTTCACAGAAGGCTTATTTTCCTAAGTGCGTAAACCAGAGAATCAAACTGAATCGAAAATAAGATCATCAAATACTCGGTCGATTTCAACCCCTTCAGCTTCTTCTCCGCTAGAACTCCCAAATTCTCCTCTACTCAACTTTAAGCACCAAAATAACTCACGATCGAAATTGACTTGATTTTTCGAGCTCGACTTCTTCTCTCCTTTGATGATTTCATACAAGTCGGAGATGACCGGTGCCCAAAAAAAATCTATCGTTTTTATTGGTTCCATTAATTCCAAAACCAATATGCCCTACCGATAATGGTGTAAGCATTGCAAAAAAATTATGATATACGAAAGAGATATGTTAAAAACTTCATAGTTAACTCACAAATTGAAAACTAAAATCTAAATGTGTAGGTTGGGTCTATCAAGTATCAAGCCACTGTCGATGAAACTCAAAAGTCTTCTATCAACTCGGATGTAATACCTTTCACGAAGGAGAAATTAGAGCATCTACACAAATTGTTTCAATATCCAAAATTGTTACTGACTCCATCTTGTTGTTCGGTATATAAGGATAACTCTCGAGTCACTGCATTATTAGGAGTTAAATTTAATGTTATTCATTCTTGAATATTTGATTCCGGCACAACTCATCACATTGTTCTAAATTACTCTCATCTAATAGACCTTGTGCAGTCACTAACAGAGTCAGAATTGTTGATGATTCTCTCTCCGTAATTGTCAAGATAGAAACTATCAAACTCACCTTACCCTTCATGATATGCTCCAAGTTCCCAAATTATCTTGTACTTTAGTATTCATTAGCAAAATTATTTATGATCATCAGTCTTAAGTCAATTTCCACTCTTCATGCTTCGAGTTTCAGATAGCGAACACTAAGAGGATGATTAACAGTGTTAAGGAAAAAAATGAACAATTT